ACGGCACATATTCTGAATTTTTATATTTCTGCCTAAAAAAATTAAATAACACATTGATGTGTTTATAAAAAGATTGATTGTATTATTTAATCGATTTATTTAGAATTTTATCGAATTCTTATTTCATTATATATTCTAGGATAATGTAAAATATCAGCGTTATCGTAATTCGAAATTTCTTGCGTAAAATTGCACAAAATAATGTCTGCACAGCAACAATATCTTCGCGTAAAAAGTAGTAAAGCTCCTCGAAGATAAGTGTGCCTTCCAACGGGAATAATGATCGTGGCGCAATCGATAATCGCCACCCATCATAAATCCTCTCTACTTGGTGCTCGAAGGTGTAACACGCGCGGAATTTCCGAACAACCTGCGAACGTGCGCTCTAGTTTTCAGTTTCGTAACATCGTCCGCGTGGTTTAATTAGAAGAAACGAAAAGTTGGGAGAGCCAAAGGGCAGGGCGATTCTGAACAGCAGTTTACGGTGCACCGCAAATAAACAATACCCGCGACTGTCAAATGAAAATTGCGACAACAATTCTCGGGATGCAATCATCCACTTTGATTATGCACCTGTCGTGAAACGCGTGCACTCAAATGTCCGTCTGTCGATCAAAGATGGATCGAATGCAATCACCCGCGTAACCGACGACAGCTGACAGACAATTTTGCCGTTTTCGGCGCGAAGATTTGGCAATCATTGACACAATTCGATTCGATTCAAATCGTGGTTGAAATTAATACAAACGAAATTAATACAAACCATAATATCAAGGAACATATAATGATTCTGCAACATATAATGATTTTGCCAAATAAACGCGGATGCGCATTTGATCATTTATTTAAATAATTTCAATAAATGACATTACATAATGAAAATGATCCATATTGCGATTTGTAGTTTACAAAAAAGTTAGAAAAGACAGAAAATAAAATTAAAAAGAGAAATTGTATAGAAAGAAATGAGAGGACAAATAAGAGAGAAAATGTTTGTAAGAACGGATGTAAAATGCATTCAGTCTCGCGAACAAAAAAACATCATTTTAATCAAAGCGTAAGGTAGTGATTTAATAACAGCGGTTACTTGTGCAAACTCATAATGTGAGTTGATCGAGGCGTAACTCGTCGTTTGACGAATAAAAGCTCTCGAGTTTTCGCAATTCACGTTTCGCACAACAAGAAAATCCTTTCGCGATAATAAAGGAAGGAGAAAGAAAACGGTCGGGGCAGACAAGGGAAAACCACGCGCGTGATTTCGAGCCGCATCCATCCACAGAAGTAAAAGTCAATCTCGCTGCCTGCTGTTGTGTTGCCGCTCGTAAATCCCCGTAGAATCGATGCAGGAGAGCGGATTGGGAGAGAAGAGGGATGGATGTTCCGTGGAGAACAAGTGCGATTCCAAGAAGGTGATTCCCTTGAAAAGGAGGCCGTGTAAATAATGATCGAACACTACGGCGCGAGGAATCGGTCCTCTTATGAGTCCGTTGGGATACCATTCCGTTGCTGAACTAAGCGATCTATACTTTCGGCTATCTGTTAACGTATTCGCATTGTCGTTCGTGCAGATTTAATGCGCGCATTCCTCATACGCCATATATGTTATCAATGTTATCATTTCATAAAAATTGCGCAATTCTTATTGCATTTTTATGATCAATATTTGCTCGATTCGAATTATTGGTGCGATAATAGATAATATTTTGTAAGAGAATTTCAAGATAATTCCAAAGAATACAATTACTCTTCTAAATCATTTTCCTCGAATTAAACAATCAAAAAAGGTGCGTTTTATTTACTTGTATTTACTTGACGTCATCTCGTCATCAATTGTACCACGATTATTTTTAATCAAATAAAAAGTTTAAAATTTTATATTAATAAATTAATAATTTCCTATTCAACAGGATTAATAATCGCAATGGTAATTATAAGAAAATACAGAAGTACATTTAAACTTGCAAATTCGAAGGACTTATCATTAGTCGATACCTTTGGAGTGTGACTTCGTAACAATTAAATAAAATCTCTCATTTTCTCTTTTTATCCCAATGTGCTCTCGCTCGTTTCTCTCGATCACGATAAATTGGCACAGCTACTTGTGTGGAAAAATAATTGTCTAGTTAGCCTCTGACTATTGATCGAATTTTGCAGTTTTTATCAAGCCGCTAGCTGTGAAAAAGTGGGCGTTGGCAGTGTTACATAACAAGCACCGCTGCATGTGAGGTAGAAAACACGCGAGATATCCGATGTTAATCGTCGCTGATCGAGTCTCGAGTATCGCGCTTTCAATATCGCGATTGCTTTAGATAACGCGACGCTCAAAATACGCGTTCGTTATTTCTCATACTACCGTCGTTGGTAATCCGAAGCCAACAATTGTTTCATAAATTCTATAGATGATATCTGCAAAGCGAATGAGTTCGTTGCACATACCATTGCAGTAATTAAGTAGTATTTACGTCCCGCTATGGGATTTTCAATCAGTGAAAAGTTACGTGCGCCGTACGCATTTCTAGTGAATCATATATAAATATTGTATATTGTAACTGACGGATAACTATTATAAATCAATTAGACGATTTCTCGTTTGTATTTAGCAATTATTGCATCCGCGCAACGAGAGCAACGAAATTGTGCAAGTTTTCGCTTAAAATTGTTGACGCGTATTAAAGCATTCAAATATCGAAAACTCTACTTCATTAAACAATGGCATAAAATACATATTAAAATTCATTTGAGATCAGATGATTTATAATTCGTTGAAAATTGAGAAATCCATTATTTTATATATGTACACACACACACACACACACACACACACACACACACACACACACACATATATTTTTTTTTACATTACTTTAAATGCTTCTGTATTATATGACATAAAAATAATAAACGGAATTCAAAATTGAAAAATCTGAATGGAATACTTTAAACTTCATGGTAAATTTTAAATCGTCTAATGTATGTCTAACATAAAGATAAAGAGATAAATAATTTTTATAAATGTAAATAATTTATAGAAGATGCAATTGTTTCCTAAGAGGAAGTATAATAATTAATTGTCAGTAACATATCTTTCCTTAAAAATGTTCTTTTTATAAGTATATAAAACATCTTTATTTTATATATTATGTCAAAAAAATTTCTGTTATCTGAAAATAATGTAACAAAATAAAACATTAAGATCGAATTGATATAAATTACTTTTGAATATACAATTTAATCGCGTTAAATGATGGAAAGAAATTTATAGCAACCGATTCGATCCATTATAATTATCGTCCATTAAAGGACAATAACAGTAGATCGCCATGATTTCTATTTTTGAAATCAAGTGCTTATTGCATTTCGATTTGATAACATTATTCATATTCGAATTCATAGTCGATGATTTCTACATCGATAATGTACGAGAGTAAGCGTCCAGCCGAAAACAAATTAATTATGGTTTAGACAGAAGCGCGTATTAGTCGATAGAAATCCATGATCGAGGCAATTACTGCCGAAATTCAGATCGAGTCGCGGGCATGTAACTCGAATGTAATAACTGTGGGAGACAATGCGGAGTATGGGAGACAATCAACGTAATTCTAACACATTGATCGGTACTCGCGCATATATGTGTATGCCGCGCGCGTATACGTTTAGTTTCGAGCGTTTCTCGTCGAGATGCGATTGATTGCTGACGATCAGATTATGGCAATTAATAGCTCGAGTGCCACGGATCCCTTCGCTTGTAAATTAGTTCCGTTTCCGGCGGAGGAACTCCCGGAATCCAACTTATCACCGCAAGTACGTGGACGCCCGTTATCGGTCACACATCTAACGCATAACTCGTATTCCACGCGTTGCAACTGTTTGAACATCTTTTTGGATGAACACATAACATCGCAAACGAAAACCACGTGGCGATTATTTGATTGAAATGTAAAAATGTTTGCTATTTCGAAAAAATCATTTGTTCATGTCTCAAATAAAAAAAAAAATCTTGAAAAACACACTGATATTAACTGTGTTGAATCACATGTACAATTTGGTATAATTAATTGCGAAATAGGCTCTGTTCTGCATCATAATGCAGACTTGACTTTATCATAATTGAATATATAATGAAAAGACATATATTAAATATTATAAAGAATAAATGGTTGTGAAATATTCTACTTTCTCTGATGCATATGTGTAAACCTCGTTAAAATGATAAAAATTATATAATCAAGTGTCTATCTATAAATAGTTGTATTTTCTAATTTGAATTATAATGAAATAATCCGTATAGCAGTTGAGAAAGCGAGCTTCGCGCATTATATTGCCTCGCATTTGTGTGCATCATTCACGTACATCAATATTGAGTAAATTGAGTGGCGCGGTATAATCCAGATTATATAAATCGAATGGAGTTAGGAAAATTGGTGTAACATGTGCATATTTTATCAAAACTTGATCCACGGAATTATACATCACTTGTAATCTTGCATTCGACATATTATACATCACTTGTAATCTTGCTTAGACATTTTATTAGAATTATAGATTTATAAATTGAAAAAGTCTCTAAATTGTCTTGTCTAGACACAAGATGTATTAGGGAAAATATTTTTAATAAAAACGTGGTTCAATACACATGCAATCTAGTATTTTTAATTTCGAGTAACGCGAAAAAAATATGAAAACATAAGGAAAAGGAAAGAATATGAAGATAAAATATGCTCTGAATAATTTGCACGGTTAAATCCATTACTATCAATATTTACCTGCATTTCATTGATTTTGTTAACAAAACAATCGTACGTACTCTTCGAATATCATTCCTTATAGCTTGAGTCAATCGATGAAACACGTTGGACTATTTCACAACCAAGTACTCTTGCTCTACATATCTCGCGTGCATCCCCATAGCATCCTCGGAGAGAAGGGGATGCAGCCTACTCTATATAGAGTATAAACGCTATTCATGCGGCAGCATAATGGGTTAAGTGGGGTCTACTCACGACGTCGATGAGCTGGGAGAGGCGTAGTCCCATTTTGACAGTGAGGCGATCGCTGTTGTTGCCAACAGGGCGGATGAGGCGGTTGTAGTTCGACAGCAGGTCATCGTAGAGACGCTTCGCTTCCGGATTGGCCGAGGCGCCCGGAAACGGGGCAACGAGACAGGATATGGCTGCCGCCATCGCCAGCAATCCGCCCAACCTGGACCACCATCGCCACCAGCCTTTCCCACCGTCGTTCGTCCAAGCATCCCTAAGCATCGTACGCCTTGTCCACCCCTTTAACAATAAATTACGCGCTCCTTTGTAATGCATGCCTCGTGATGTTGAACGTTGAAGGAGAAAGAGAGTGCAGGGTTCGTTGATCTCTCTACCTCCATCGTTCTATCTCTCTCTCTCTCTCTTGCGCGCGCACGCGAATGCTAAAATTCATTTCGCGCGCTAATTATCCTGAGACTGTTTCATATTATAACATTAAGGGACATTCTGACTGTGATAAAGCAAAATGACTTCGCGTTTAGTTTCTTAAACGTTTAAAGCAGAAAAAAAAATCGGTGATAATTAAAGAATTTAGTTTTGTTGAAATATTCTCGTCTCTGCATGCTGCGTATGCAAGAAAAATAATACGAGTAGAATAATAATTGCGCGTTTTAATACTTTATATATAATAATATATATAAAATCAATTTATATCAAGAGAAAGAAAAAAAGAGACAGAACCGTATATTATTTATTTTAAAAAATTCCCTTTTATTCTAATAAAAATTTTTCAAATCAAAAATAAAGTTTTTTTTTAATAAAAAATAAATACACTAAATATCATCACGTTGTTAAATTAAATATCATATAAAAATAACAAACTATTCGAAAGACTGTAAAAAAATCAATGAAAATTATTTACAAGTGAAAAATTTCTTCGACAAAACCTTTCGCTGCTGATAATTTGAGAAATGACTGTTTGATGTAAAATCTCGGGGGAGATCAACTTCAAAAGGGCAATTTCATAAAAAAACAAATTTCACTTTCTATACGAGTTTCGCAGTTTGATCTCGCAGTTTCATATTGCGAAGCTTATAACAAGGGGCGTCACCTAAAAATAATCTGAAAAATTATTATGCAAATGTTCCATAAAATAATCCTGAATGATAAGACGATATCATTCGCAAACGATGGCAAATGATTAATAGTTATAAGTTTCATGACGTATTTTGCTGAAAAAAGAGAATATCGGCAAAAAAGCTAGAGAAATTCCAGAAGAACGTTCTTTTACGAGCGAATATAAATCTCACTTAGAATAAGAACCAAAACGACTTTGCAATTAGCCCGCTTTTCACGCTCGATTCCATGTCGTTAAGAAATTAGGATACGGATAATACGCGAATGCTTGCAACTTTTGAACCATCGTTATAATGCAGGTTTGATCGTAAAACGGATTATTTGGGAAAATTACAGGCAATTACGAAGTCGAGAGAGATGAAATATTTTATCGTAAAATAAAATCGTAACTTTATCGTATCGCTTACGGATTATTTGTTTATTAACATTCCTGTCGTGAATTTGCGACTGACATTTTCTCTTCCATCTATCGATTTCATGTACCACAGTTATCGACCACAGTTAATTCTCACGCTGAAGTTATTTAGTTATCCGATCCTATTCTTGAGTATGATATTTTTATTTTATTTTTGTATGTTTATTTTTTAATTTACAAATTAAATTTATATAATATAGGATGGAATTTAATATAACGTTATAAAATAAAAATAAAATGATTATCTAAATTAGTACATTTAATAAACAATCTTTATATGTAAGTAATATTATTCGGAATTTAACAAAATAATTACGCGTTTTTAAATAACGGATTATATCTGGAAAAATATAATCAAATGTTACTTGCATATTTTACACTACTATGAAAAACAGAAGCACTTAAAAATATTTGAAAATGCCACAGATAATATGCTTTGAATTATTACACACAAATATGAATATTAAAAATTCTCATAAGTAATATTTAAAAATAATAAAATGCGGTTTGACTAAATTAATATAATTAATTGAATTTAATTTGATCGATAAACATCACAAGGGAATAATGAATCAAATTATTTCGAATATATTAAATGAGGTGCTAATTAATTACGAAGTCGAGCGGGCTGTTCTACAAAAGAAGATTGATGCAAGAGCGAATTATTCATTCGCGTATCACGCGAGGAAAACTTGTTGCGAAAATCTGACTGTTTTGCATATCGTATTCGTATTTTACAAGTGTGTTAACGAGGACAAGTGCACGATGAAAAGCCATATTTTTGCCTCGAATGTATCACGGATGTCGCCTGTCGATTCTTTATAATACTTCGTCAACGTCAACTTTCCTGAAGCAAGTCACCGTCCCATCGTAAGATGTAGCCGGTCGGCTGGTAGATCAAGTCATTTACTACCCGTGACGAGGAGCGTAGTCGCCCATAAAGAGGGCTTGAACGACATTGTTGTGTCACAAAAAAGGCAGAGGAGAGGAGAAGCTCTCGAGGAAGTTTTATCGCTTCTTTGCTGACCTACCTCGCCTACCTCGCTATTATCAGCATAACCGTATGCCTCGAAGGACTATTTCGTCGTATTAAGGTAACTTCTCGCGCTCTGATGCCCCTCTTCTTAAACTAAGACGCGACAAAGAATGTTCAAACACGAAAATGTATTCTATCGAAACTTTGACAGAAAGTAGAGACAACGATACATGTCCAATGAATAAAAAAAATTTGTTTTTTTTTTTTCATTTTGTTATGTGTAATTTTAAAAGAGAAAACAGTTCGCAAAATTTATTAAATATGTATTTCGAAAATTTTTCATAAAAGATTATTTAATAACGAAAATGTTTAACAAATAATATATTATTTTTTGTATTTTTTTCATAATATATACAATTTATAATAATTTGTTTTTACATATCTGTCTTTTTCTTGCTCTTATTTTTTTTATTAAAGTAAGAATTTATATAAAAATTCTGAAGCATTTCATCAGTCTCGTAATTATAAATAAAAAAATATAACCGATTGAAGTAAAATTAATCAGCGTTTGTTCGAAATATGTAATGCAAGTATTTACTTCTTATATATTATTATATTATAAAGACAATTACAGTCAATATACAAACATTACATACATACACAAATTTTACCTGAAGTTTAGATAATTTTTACGTGACCATTTACATAACAATAGATACATAGAGGTCTGCCTTCATTAGCATTTGACCGAAAATCCCAGGAATACCAATTCAATTACACGTGTATGTGCAACCACCGTATATGTATACAGTCACGATCAGTGATAACGGTTAGGTACTATATTACAGATGATCGGTTTCGTTATACGATAAAAGGATAGGTCGATCGAACAGCTTGTTCGACAGTGATCGGACGCGGCTTGAGGAAGCGGATATAATGGAACCAATAATGAGCCACCGCATCCATCAATCCGGATCAAGCAGCGGATCAATTTAACCATCCTTTCCCTTGCGCGTCCAATGTACCTTCGGAAAACAAGTTACGCAATCTCGGATCGTATGTATCGACGTCGGGATGATTGAAACACCTTTTATAAAACTAGATTAATCCTTCCATATAATCCGAGTGAGATAATAATATGAATAATAATGATTGAGAAATGTTAATATTTCTCTTTTTCGTTTTCGAACTTGTGTATAAGAATAAGTTTGGATAAGAATAAGTTTGGATAAGAATAAGTTTGGATAAGTTAACTCAATAAACAAACAACAAAGTATCTTGACTTTGACGTCAACAATATCTCTCTCTTTCTCATGAAATAAATATATTATTCTGTATAAGGTGTACTATGTATTTTAAAATTAATGAAAGAAAAGGAGGAGAATATTAATATTATATTATGGCAAGAAATATCTTTCCAACTATTTAATATCAAGAAATGGAACAAAACAATATCTGAAAAAAAAAATATATATATATATATGAAGCATAACCACTGCTAAATTATCACATTTACGTCAAACGCGTTTGTGTAAAGCAATTTGAAAAATACGTACACCTAGTTATCAATATAGCACAATGAAACTAAAACTCTGCGTGACAAAGACGAGTTTGCAAATGCGAAATGGACTTGTTCTGAAGAAAGGAAAAGAAACAAAAAAATTCAGCGCTACTACAGACGATAACGCTAAGTGCATCAGTCTGTATACAATCAGAAACGAATGGCGGACTATTATCCATTCGAAGGATACAAATTGGCGCGCGGTAGAAGGAGGCCAAGCAAACGTGTCGAAAGTTTTTGCGCGATCCATGAACGTCTTCCTCGTTCAGTAACGTCGTTTTTTCGTCCGACTTTTGCGTGAAAGCTGTAACTCCGACTTTTACATGCGATGCGAGTTGTAACGATCAGCGGATTGCAAGCGATTCATACAAGTTTACGTCAAATGGAAAAGCGATGTCTGCATAGCGGTTAACGACAGGCGATGCAGACGGTCGACACACATCGAAAAATGGAGAAAAATGTATTACGTCCACCACGAGACGTTAAACTACCTGGCAGCATGACATATTGCTGGCCGGCGTAATAATTTATCACGCTTCGCGAAATTGGCATCGCGGAAACCTTTATCGACATTCGAAAGAGCTGCGCTTTGAAATCGCTCGACATGTACCTTTTTGTGCCAAAATTAATTAAATTTAAATAAAATATTGAAATATTTTTGTTACATCCATATTGTTTAGTATATACAATTTAGAAAAATCACGAGAAAGATATCATTCCTCTAAAATAAAATATAATTAACCTCGAAAAATGATTGGAAATTACAATTGAAGTAAAAATTTTAAAAATACGATTTCTACGGCTGTGATAAAATTTTGTTAAGTTGCATTAAAAATATTCATAAAACACATACTTTTTCCGAATATTATTGTTCTTTTTTTATCTCTCTTTATCTCTATTAATAGGAATGGAAGGATATCTCTCGCAGAATACGCAAAGGCGATATTCTTTTATTGACATTTTCCGAATATTATTTTTGTTATTAATAACAAGTTATAAATGGAAGCAACCGAGATTGATAGATACATGACATTTAAAGTATAATACAATAATAATGAGAGATGTGTTCAGAACAAAATATACAATACAGGATGGTTACTTCATAAATGTGTTTACGAAATATTTTCTAGATTGCACATCTCTTCTCTCATACATACAAACAAGAAGAACGTAATGCAGCACAGTTCAAACGTATCGCTTTATCGTTTAAA